AGCAAATTTTTACAGTAAAATTAACATTTCCATTTTGCCCAGAAACAGCTCAAATTCTCTACACAATATAAGAGCACTGTGATAGTACTTTTGCTGCCTAAAATATTGGATACAAAGACTCAGTTTGTATTCTTTTTAGAACATTTGATTAACAAATATGAGAACCTTATTTTGTACCTTGAATACACCAACAAATACATGCATGTGATGTGTTTGTCTATCATCATTAATGAAGTATACATATCATTCCATTCAATGCCATCTCTATCTTAACTGAACAATTATACTGTACATCAAATACTGATGACATATTGCATGCAGTAAAATTATGTCAGGCAAATAATAGAGTAACTTAAAATTAAAAATAATTTTGACCATTAGTAGTAAGTTCACAATAATTTTGACTAATATTAAATAAAGCTCCAGCATGTTAAAATAATAATAATAATAATAATAATAATAATAAGCATAACTAAATACTTACTAATGTAGCTTGTCTCCCTCATGACTGTAAGGAGGTATATGATCAAGGTAAAATGTGCAGTGGAGTATATATACTGTGAAACCTGATGAACTACCAGCCTTTGACGTAATATAATATGTCTAAATAAATGAAGGAGGCTGCATAAAAATTAATAAAAAGAGACAATCCATTAAAATTTTACTGCACAACCTTGCTAATACTAAATATTTATAATAGAAATGTGGTAAAAATACAAAGAAGTAGCAGTTGGCCATGCTTGAATTAAATGCTAATATTCTGTTTCTTACCATCAATAATGTTCTTGTGATATATTGCCATTCCACAGACACGACCAATGAACTTGAAATAGTCTAAATGATATTCATTATACACATACATTTATATGTAAATGGATTGTGAAATATACTATTTTAATTATTATTAATACCTTGCAGAATATTCAAAGAGTCCGTAAACATTTTATGAGATAATAAATGAAACCACTCACTAATCAATAAAGAAATAAATAATTAATTAGTTATTAATTAATTGCTACATTACTCCATGGCAGTGGTTGGACTGTAGCCTCTTCCTCTCTCTCTCCTCCTCGCCTGTTTCATCACCTGAGGACACCTCCGTCAACTGTAATAAAAACAACAACAACAACAACAACAACAATAATAATACCATATACGGCATATATTTCACGGGTATAAAATTTTGCGATTTGGCTGTATATTTTTTGTATTCACAAATAATTTTTTTTTTGCGATTTTAATGCAATTACCACACCTACTATACAATCAGCACGCTATTTTGCGGAAATTAATTTCGCAAATTTTTCTAAAACACGAAAATCGCGAAATTTAATTCTCAGGAAATATATGCTGTATACGGTAATAATAATAATTCTTACATCAATGCTGTTAAGGCGTGGTAAGTAACTCCTTGTTGCTGTTGGTTGTTATTCGATCTGCTCTTCTTATGTTCGGTCATCTTAAAGAGGTTGTCCTAGTAAGATGATTAAGAAACACATTATTTCACATTATAATTATTTTTTGAATACTTATAGTTTTGTCATTTCCTTTCTTGTCACAGTAAAGCTAGTGATACATACTGACATCGATTGATGTAGCCCGCTCCAGCTCATTAAATGGCCCTCAAAAATCCTTAAAAACTTTATTAAAGTGATTATGAGCTACAGTACTAATGATTGACTACCAAGTACCAACAAGCCTTTGTCTTATGGAATATTCAGACATCTTTCTTTCAGTGGCCACTCCCCCCAAATTAGGACCCACGTGCTTCCACGTGGTCATTCTCACTCGTAATCATTAGTGAGATCCACTCTTGGTGAGATTTATTGACAAAATTATTATTATTAATTTAGTTTCTTTCTTTTAGTGTCTGGCAGCTTTATTTCACTGTTTATTGAAATGGGAGGAGCTGCTGGTTGCTTGGCATTAGGAGCCTGTGGAACAGTTTTACTGTCAACAGATTCTCCTCTAACAGTAACACCAGGAGCACCTAATGGAGGAGAGAGGGTGATTGTGTTGTTATATATATTATACTTCAATCAAAAGACATCTTGTTTCAATAGATTCTTAGCGCCTCTGTCCTCAGAGAGAGAGGAGAAATGGCATAGGAGTATGGTACCTTCTTAGCCTATCACAGGAGTAGAGTAGAGAACTTTCACTCAATCGCACACAACGGACTCCTCAGTCACATTAACAAGGTAGTATAGAGCCATACCCAAATACCAAACACCACCCACTCATTTAATTACCACTTCTGTGACCTGTGACTATGTACATGTACATGTGTATTGATTGTTATTAAATTTTAATGGAAAATCTTGTTTTGTTTTTGTTTGCCAAATAAACTCAACAATAGATTCACTGATTAAATGGTAAGCCAAGAGAAGACAATGGAATATGGAGTCACTTATCAACTTTCATTATGTTGTTTATGCCAACACTAAGACAATGTATTCTCATTTAATTAAGTTTGGTATATTCAGTGAAGGAACTTACCTTAGACTGGTAGGAAATTTCAGTAGTCGTTGTACTAGCCATTTTAGACAAGCTTTTAAAATTCATAAAAAATCTAATTCTGATAGAAATCTCTCATAGAAATCAGCTCAAACTTTCTACACAACATCAGTACACCTATATCTATCAGAAAATGTAATAAAATTGAGGAATTCTCTCTGGTGAAATTTGACCAAAATCTGTACTATATTACAGGGACTTTCCCTCAGTATTTGATCAACTTTAGAAATTGGTAAAAAATCTAATTTCAATTAGAATAAGCTCAAACTTTTCTATCTGAAGAAATTGCCCGTGTGCAATGTTTTGAACTTCCTTCAACTACAGTCCCCACTGGTGAATCCAATGCACAGGCTGACAACTTAGAATGTTTTGCAGAAATGGCCCTTAAAGATGGAGATTAACAAGTCACGCATCTATTACATCCTATTCTACTGGTGATCATTCTTCATACACATATCAGAAAAATTAATTGAAATGACAAATCACCTCCTAACCATTTTTGATTTGGCCACACACACGTCACACACATGCCCTGTAGTACAATACACACAATAGTAATGTTTACTGTGAGCCAGTAGTAGATTAACCCACTGATTGACTGACAGGCCAAGAGAAGGCAATGAAATGGAATAGTAAATTAAGACACTCACCAACTTTCAATTATATTTCATGCCAACGCTAAGACAATGAATTATCATTTAATTAAGTTTGGTATATTGAGTGAAGGAACTTATCTTAGACTGGTAGGAAATTTCAGTAGTCGTTGTAAGTACTAGCCATTTTTAGACAAGCTTTTAAAATTCATAAAAAATCTAATTCTGATAGAAATCTCTGATAGAAATCAGCTCAAACTTTCCACACAACATAAGTACACCTATATCTATCAGAAAATGTAATAAAATTGAGGAATTCTCTCCTTTTCAATTTTGGTGAAATTTGACCAAAATCTGTACTATATTACAAGGACTTTCCCTCAGTATTTGATCAACTTTAAAAATTTGTAAAAAATCTAATTTTACTTAGAATAAGCTCAAACTTTTTCTATCCATATCAGAAAAATTAATTGAAATGGCAAATCACCGCCTAACCATTTTTGATTTGGCCACACACACATGCCCTGTAGTACAATACACACAATAATTTTTACTGTGAGCCAGTAGTAGATTAACCCACTGATTAACTGACAGGCCAAGAGAAGGCAATGAAATGGAATAGTAAATTAAGACACTGACCAACTTTCAATTATATTTCATGCCAATAGTTATTGGACCGACTTCCATTTCCTTTTTATGATATAATAATAATACATGTATACATTCTTATGTCCATCAAGTATTGTTCTATTATGCCTATGGCAATTGACCAATGAAATTGCAGTATTCTACGTAGCTACATTATTTTTTATTATACTTTTGTCTCATTAGAAGACAATGTAAATGTACCTTACTTTAATTAATATACTGTTTATCGTGTCTTTATTATTGTCTTATGGTCTTTCTCTATCTGTTCCTTCTCCTTTTTCTTGGTCTGTGGAATTTTCACTATGCCTCAAAACTTTATAATCAATACACAAGAAGATATACAACATTGTAACTAGAGTTAACCTTCACTTTATGATCATGATACAAAATAGAATGTTTATGAATTGATTTATATAATATTAAAAGTAAATAAAAAACATTAAAAATTGAAAAGTAGCAGGATTAAATTGGAAAAAAGTAAAGAAACAAGAGGGTACTTGCAAACTGGTGTGATAAGAAATACTGCCTGAATATCTATGGTTTTGCACAAGCTTACTTGACCACACCTCCTAATTACCCCACCCATCTCATAATTGCCCCCCAAAATTGAATCCTAGATCTGTAAATTCACAATAATTTTGTAACAGGAAATGAAGCTCCAGCATGTTATAAAAGCAGTAGCTGTACACAAAAACTCATCACTGGTAGCCTACAGTAAAAGGATTGTTCAGTATTAGTTCTATACAGCAAGTCAAGACAAGATGGATTCCTGTTCTTATTTTAAGCTGATAGGATGCTTCATTCTTATTAGCATTGCTACTGCACAGGAAACACAAAAAGCATGTAAGTCATACAGTAATAATAATGATTAGACATACTGTATCTATTTTACTAATAGGTTGCCTTCCTCGTAATTGTAAGGAAGCATATGAAAACGGTAAAGTATGCAGTGGAGTATATACTGTGAAACCTGATGAACTACCAGCCTTTGACGTAAATATATTAATATAAACAGTATACAGAACCATTTATAATAATGATATTTTGCAATGTCCCAATTGGTAAAAAACCTGTACAAAAGTACCTCTAAAATGAGGACACCTCTGCATTACAGACAGGTAATGTGGGTCCAATGGTGTCCTTAATAAAGAGGCTACACTGTACATGTATTA